GCTGCATTAGTTATAGTGGAAAAAAAGCATTGCAAGATTTGAAGTTATGCTGGAATAAAGAAATCTTTTCCCCTGGGTTTTTCTGCACCTTTATGTTTTTAAGGGAAAAAAGTATCTTAACTTTACACATATTATATTTTCCAAACAGGCTCTGAAAGACAAAACTCAGGACAAGAAATGAAACCACTGAAATAACAAGAACTAAATACTTCCCAAAAGCAGAAACAATATTCAACATGCTGCGACTGCCCATTTCATTAAATTCTCAAAACAATTTTGATTTTTACATTATTAGCATTGCTATCTAAACACTAAGAAACAGAAAGAATATGCTAGGAAAATAAAGTGTTTACCTAATTGAGTACTATGTTAAGATGTTTTAATTAACAGACCACCTGAATTAAAACAAGTGAAACATCTGAATTGTTTTAGCACTTTCAGTACCTTGTGGGTGTGACAGTCTATGGAGAAAGCTCAGACTGAAAAAAAATAAATTCTAAACCATTACTCTAAAAGTAGTTCCAGTTACTTTAAGACTGGAAATATTAAAATGGCAGGAGAAATGAAAACTTAAACTTACATTACTTAGATCCTGGTCCTTATAAATGCAAATATGTGCAGACTAAGAGAGGAAAATTTCTTTTATTCCATGTGCTAAATGACCCAATTGAATTTTTAAGGTCTCAAAGGTTGACAAGCAAGACCAAGTCACCCTATCCTTAATAGTTTCATATAGAATGTCAGTAGGCCAAAAATAGTAGTGCCAGCACTTAATACAACAACATCGGCTGACTGGCCTTGGTTTTGGTGCTTTTGCACAAATGTTGGTACCAAGTGCAATATTATTTAATGTTTCATTAGTGATCTGAATGTAAATTTAAACTTAAAGAGGGAAAATGCCTAAATTATAAATAACTATTGCCACATTAATTTTTAAAAAATATTATTTTGCAATTAAATTAAAAAATAGGTATCTGGGAACAAAAAAATGCAAGCAGTATCACCCAAATGGGGAACTCCTCTAAATAAAGCTCTGGTGCCAGATTTTTTAAAGAAAATCCAAAAGAAAGCCAATTGGGGTGAAAAAAAGAAAAAGTAGTAGTATTTTGAAGTGGAAGAAAATTATTCAGTAGTAGAAACTTAAAGGGCTGAAGCTCTTAATTTTAGTTGAACAAGACTAAGACGCAATTTGATGGCCCTTCACAGGAAGGAACTATTTTTTACGAAATGGTTATCGGGATAATAAACAGAAATAGACAACCAGAAACCAGTTAAATTTAGAAAGAACACATTTTTTTTTTCCTATAAGAACCAACCATTCAAATAAAGTAACAAGAGGAGTGGTAGAGCAACACTTGTTATGTATAGAAATCAGCTAGATCTAGGTGTTCAAATAAAATTTTGATAGCTCTCTGGTATACAAGTTTCAGTAAACACAACTCCACACACATACTGAATGCACGTAACAAATCAGGAAGTTGAAAGAGAATGCTATAATATTGCCATCTGGTTGGAATTCAGTCACCTTGGGTGAGTGTCTGTAAATACTGATACAGACTTATCTGAAAGCAGTAGCTTTTTTTCTTGTCAGAAACAGGTTCATTTTGTTGCTCAATTCTGCTTTTTAAGTTTGTTTTTTTCCTAAATCAATCTCATTAGCTTCTTTCAATAACTTTAAAGAAAGAAGATAAATTTCTGTAGCACACACAGTTTTCATTTGTCTTAACACGTCAGTGAAAATACACTGCTCCCTGCGGGTAGAACAGCTGAAATCCATGTTTGTTAGTGAAACGGACAGGTTGGGGGGTTTTATTTTTAGGATTATTATTTCAGATGAGGTTGAAAAATGCATCTTTGACCTCAAAATTATCTCCCTGGTGTCACAATATAAACATTAAAGCATTTCCTTCAGCCATGTATTGAACTTTTTGTTTTGTTTTGCTTTCCTCCAAAGCAGGAGCAGACATACAGACAGGTGAGAGAACATCTTTGGTTAGATTTTGGTTGGGTTTGTTTTGTTTTGGGTTGGTTTTTTGTTGTTGTTGTTTGTTGATTTTAATTTTTTTTTGAGGTGGTCTGGTGTGGAGCTTTCCCCCCCCAGTCCAGTGCTAAAACTTGAGTGTCTTTAATTTACCCACTGAGCTACACAGCTAAATGCCCCAATGCCTCACTAAGTAGCGTTATAAACAGCATACAGTTAATGCTGTCAAGTTCCACAAAACACTGTTTAATTATTCATTCCCAAATTCACTTTTCTGTTTTATAGCTATAGTTATCCCGTTACTACCCAGTTAGCCATTGCAGTTACATTTGTCACGTTAAGCACTCCACAATCACCAAAAGCAGCACTTACATGCCAAAAAGAATAAGATCTTCCAAGCTACATCAGTTAAGTATGAGGAATAACACTCACCGTTTGCAATTTACACATTCCTGGGAAACCATTTACATCTGGTAACTTAGGAGCTTGCCAATCTGGCTTCGCCTACTAATCACAGTTTCTGCCTGTCCGTTTCCCTTAAAGGAGCCGAAGTTGTTCCTCTGAAGCTACTTCTGTTCAAAGGAATGGAAGGTAATTTGAGGATTTCCAAGCAGACACCAGTAAGAAATTCTTTAGTATATTGTTATAAAGAACTAGATACATGCAGTATGTTTGCAATCCTAAACTGGCTTCCCCCAGGGCAGACACGATGTTTACGGGTCACTTGCAAGCGTGTGGAGAAGGGGAAGCCTACAACACGTGTCATCTGACGGCATCTGTGGGAGATACAGAGTCGCTAAAAGCTTTCTTTGTAACCTCAGATTTGCATGATTTGCTTTCTCCGCCGAAGAGGGGAAGTGCCGCAGAATAAATGCAGACGTAGACAGATACCTTGG